TCTAAGTATATAACATGCCATGAGATGATAGTTAATGTTGGCATGGAGCCATTATGATTCACAAGAGATTTAAGAATTAATCTTTTGTTGCCAAAATGATGTACTGTCACCTGTGCAGGTATGCAAGTCTGCAAACTTAACCCACTTAGAAATGACATCTCCTAACTTGTTTAAAAATCTTCCAAATAAAGAGTTCAAGTGAATTTTGAACCCATTTATTAAAAATATGAAAATACAGTACCTTCCAGTTAGTTTGCAAGAACAGCTGATGGACATAAGGCAATACAGAAATTTACTAGCTGAATATCAGTACAAACCTTTGTATAATCGGTAGATTGGTTGAAAAATGAGTACCATAGTTGAGTCAAGATAGTCAATAAACTTTTGTTTGGCTCTACATATCAGTTATTCCAGACGTTAAAACTAAGAATCAAAATAAACTGAACTTAGAACCAGATGTTCACATTGGCGTATCACAAAGTATTACATGAAGATTTTAAAAAATAATGAAACTTAATCAATCACATTGCTCTTATTAATTCTTTATTAATATTCCATATCAGCACATTGATAATGGCACGTCTGGTTTTAAATAAAAAACATAGAATGTGAATATATATGTGTATTTATATAGCATTAGATTTTAAGCTCCTTGAGGGCAGGGACTATCTTTTACCTCTTTTTGTCTCCCTAACACTTAGTTCAGTGCCTGGCGCAAAGTAGGTGCTTAATAAATGTTTATTGATTGATTTGATTGATCTGTATTTATGTCTATATCAGTATCTATAGCTAGACTAATAGCTGTATAATTGAATGTTGAAATTGGAATAAAAATTGACTTCAAATCCAGACTCTGATACTTATTAGTTGTGTCACCCTGGGCAAATCATTTAACTTTTACTTTTAGTGACAGCCAAAAGATTGTACAATTGTAACATTTATGGTACAATTGTAATAGTTGTTGTTAAGTTGTTGTTAAGTCATATCTGTCACGTCTGACTCTCTGTGACCCCATTTGAGGTTTTCTTGGCTATCCAGCTCATTTTACAGATGAGGAACTGAGGCATACAGGGTTAAGTGACTTGCCCAGGGTGACATAGATAATAAGTGTCTGAAGCCAGATGTGAACTTAGGAAAATGAGTGTTCCTGATTCCAGGCTCAGCACTCTATCTACTGAGCCACCTAGCCGCTGCAATCAATTATACCATTGACAAAATGAAGTAAAAAATTTAAAATATTGCTTATTTCATCTTGATCTTAGCACTTTTTTGTGGCATGTATATATCATTTATGAACATACATGTATTTGGGGTAGATGCTCAAATTATTTTATTTTATTTTTTACCAGTGGGGCGTATGATCAAAAATTTTAGAAATGACTGTTATAAGCTAAGGAGTAATGATTTGAACTTAAGAAAATGAGTGTTCCTGATTCCAGGCCCAGCACTCTATCTACTGAGCCACCTAGCCGCTGCAATCATTTATACCATTGACCAAATGGAGTAAAAAATTTAAAATATTGTTTATTTCATCTTGATCTTATCACTTTTTGTAGCCTGTATATATTATTTATAAACATACATGTATTTGGGATGGATGCTCAAATTATTTTATTTTACTTTTTACCAGTGGGGCACATGATCAAAAATTTTAGAGATGACTGCTATAAGCTAAGGAGTAATGACCCAAATGGGGCTATCAAGAAGTGAATAGAGTGTGAGAGGGGTTATAGCAGAATGGAGCTGAAGGATGTACCTCAATTTAATAGCAAGGAACGGAAATGTTCTTCTGCTGTAAAGCTGTATATGAGATTCTTGATATGTGCCATGACACAGAGCACTGCAAATTCATTCATCCAGAGAGGGAAGGTGGCTGAATGATCATACGAAATCTGAAGAGCTGTGAATTCTAAGTTGGATTCCACCAGCAAACTGCTGGGTACCCTTAAGAGGTCATTCATCAAAATTTAACAGATGTTAATGAAGTATATACTGTATTCAGAATATTGTGCTAGGTGTTCTACTTATGTTTTATCTCCTTTAAAAAAACCAAGACAAAATTAAGCTTTATTCTGATTTAATATTTAAATTAACTTTTGGCACCCTCATATGTTAGGCAGTCATGTATCACATGAGGTATCCTAGGGGACTGGTGGTAATTCCACAACTTGAGAGGTTGACAGTGGCACACTCAACTTATTTGTTTGCTTTAAGCATATTGCTGTTTACATGTACCCAGTTAAGTGGATTTACAGATTATATTATTAGTTTTAACTAAACTAGCCCCAGTAAAATAAACAAGTTGATGAAAAAGATTCTTGTAAAGTTAAACCACAAATTGAAGATAATAATGAAAACACAAGCAAACAATAGTAAAAATGGGAGAGTCAACATTTTTCATGGATACTAAGTTTGGATACCATCCCTACCGATGGTAAAGAATGGTTCAGATATCATCCCTTAGATAAGACACATTTAGAATTATTAGGTATAAAACAAAATGCAATGTGAGGTCTGAGTAAAGAAGGGGCATTCTTGATGGAGTATTAGAAAAACTCCTTTTATAATGGGTTTACAAGGATGGGTAGGAATTCAGCAAGTGCAAAGCAGGAGAGGTGGCATTCCCAGGCACAATATAAGTGAATGCATGGAGGTAGGAAGGGACAGAGTGTGTTGGGTACACAGAGAGTCATACATTTTGGTTAGATAATGGAAGAGTTGGAAGGGAGTAATACGAGTAGGCTGGTCTCAGAAAATCTCTCAATTTGAAAATTGAAGAACTTCTTACAAAATCTAATGGTGAGAAGTGAGATCTCTTTCTAAATTGTCTATAAATGGACTCCGTAATGCATACATCCTCATGTTATTTATGCCATCTCACATGAAAAGGTGGCCTTTCTCCTTGCCAAGGCAAACCTCTCTATATGCACAACCCTTCTCCAGCAGATTGTCCCCTGTATCATTGCCATATTCTCAATAATTTTCAGTCTCTCCTATGTCTACTGGTTCATTCCCTACTGCCTACTGACATGCTAACATCTCCTCCATCCTCAAAAAACTCTCATCCCTTCCAGCTATTTGTCCCGTATCTCTCCTCCTGTTTGTGGCAAAAACTCATGGAGAAGGCCATTTACAATAGGTGCCTTCACTTCCTTTCCTCTCACTCTTTTTTAACTTGCTGCCATTTGGCTTCTGACCTTATCATTCAACTGAAACGGCTCTCTCCAAAGTTACCGACAATCAAATCTAATGATCTTTTCTCAGTCCTCATCCTTCTTGTCTTCCCTGCAGCCTTTGACAGTGTCACTCACTTCCATTTCTCCTTGATACCATCTCATCTCTAGGTTTTTAGTACACCATTCTCTCCTGGTTCTTCTATTTATTTGGCCACTTTTCCTCTGTCTCCTTGGTGGATCTTCATTCAGGTCACACCATGGGGTTCTGTCCTAGGCCCTTTTTTTGTTCTGCTTCTATTATGCTATTTCACTTGGTGATTTTGCCAGCTGAATTCAATTATCATCTCTGGCTGATGATTCTCAAATCTTCTTATCCAGCCCTAACCTCTGTGCTGACCTCCACTTGACATCTCCAACTGCCTACTAGACCTCTCAAACTGGATGTCCTGTAGACATCTTAAACTCAGCATGTCCAAAACTGAACTCATTATCTTTCCCCAAAAACTCTCCTTCTTTTCAGCTTCCCTGTAACTGTTGAAGGTACTACTCTCCTCCTAGTCCATCAGGCTTACAACCTAGGTATCTTTCTTAATTCCTCATCTCATCCCACCATATTCAATAAGTTGCCAAGGCCTGTTAATTTCACCTTTGAAGCATCTCTTGAATATGCCCCTTTTGTTTCTCTGATACTGCTGCCACCCTGATGCAAGCCCTCATCCCCTCGTGCCTGGACTTTGCAGTGTTTTGGTCTTCTGTCACCAATTCCTTCCCTTCAGGCTCTCCTCCACTGAGATATCAAAGTGATCTTCCTCAAGTACAGGACAGACCACGTCATTCCCCTGCTCAGTAACTTCAGTGGCTCCTTATCACTGCTAAGATAAAATATAAAATCCTCTCTTTCACATTCAAAGCCTTTCCTTCCTTTCCCGTCTTCTTATCCCTTACTGTCCTCCAAGTACTCTGTGATCCAGTGACAGTGATATCTTTGCTGTTCTTTAAACCATACACTTCGTCTCTTGAGCCTGGGTATTTTTGTGGGCCGTTCCTCATGCCTGGAATGCTTTTTCTTCTTATCTCCTGCCTTCCTGGCTTCCTGAATTACCACCTTCTATAAGATGGGTCTTCCCTCTGCTGAATATTTCTCACTTATCCTGTAAATAGCTTGTTTGTACATTGTTGTTGCATGTTGTCTACTCTATTAGACTGTGACGTCCTTGAGAGCAGGGACTGCCTTTTGCTTTTCTTTGTATCCCCAGTATTTAACACAGTGCCTGGCACATAATAGAATGCTTAATCTTTATTGACTGACTGATTGCCTTCAAAAAATCACAAGTCCTTGACTCGTGATCTAGGTCGTGAGAAGTAGAATAATTAATCCCCTGAGGTTGTGACATGCATTTCAGTTTGCACTGTTTGAATTTATAATTATGTAAAATGTGGTAATTGGTTCCAGACCAATGGAATATGCAGTGCAAGTTCAAATAATGTGACCACTTCAGGATATTCATTATTTGTGTTAATCTGAACCTAGTTGTATTGATGGAAAGACCCAAAACCTAGTTTAAGTCTCTCCTTTCACCATGGAGAAACTAGACCCAGCAACTAAAGGGTTTTGCCCAAAATCACTCAGGTAAGTCTCTTAACACTCAATTCAGTGTTTCTTCCATCATTTCAAACTTAGGTGCCCCCAACTATCAATTCTCTACATCTTTGCCCTTAGCTCTCCATTTTGTGCAATTAAAAGAATTCTTGAGATGTGATGCTCCATAACTCTTCTTTTTCTTCGTTAGTAACTTTCTTATTCTCTCCAATTTCCTTCTGCAGGTTCCAACTATGGGAGCCCTCGCCCAGCTCATGCCAACATGAATGCCAATGCCGCGGCAGGGCTTGCTCCTGAGCACATCCCCACCCCAGGAGCGGCCCTCTCATGGCAGGCGGCCATCGATGCTGCCCGGCAAGCCAAGTTGATGGGCAGTGCTGGCAATGCTACCATCTCCACCGCCAGCTCTACTCAGAGGAAACGGCAGCAGTATGGGAAACAGAAGAAGCAAGGGAGCACAACAGCCACTCGCCCACCCCGTGCATTGCTGTGCCTGACCCTGAAAACCCCATCCGGAGAGCATGCATAAGCATTGTTGAATGGAAATATCCTTTTTGGCGTGATCTGGGCAGTATATTTGTGCTCTATTCCTGCTATCAGTGTTTACTTTGAGGAAGCAATGGGGCAAGGAGCATGGGCTCTGGAGTCAGAGGACCTGGGATCTAATTCTGCCATCTCTGTAAGCTTGGGCAAGTCACTTAACCTCCTTGGGCCTCAGTTTCCTAATCTGTAGAAATACAGGGGGAAGAAGTTATAGTAGATGGGTTGGAGGTCCCTTCCAAGTTAGATATTTATTATCATATGATGCATCACTCCAGATAGTACTGGTCCTCAGAAAACCGAAACCTAAGCAGGCTCTATAGGCAATGTCTAACTTTCAGAGATAGGAAATAATAATAACTTTTAGGGCATCTATGTAACATTTTATAGATTACAAAACATTTTCTTCTTATTTAATACAGCATAGTGTAGGAAAAAGATTACTGGATTTGGGGTCAGAGGACTTGGGGTAAAGTCCTATTTTGTACTATATTTACTACAAATTTATTTACTACAAATAAATGTATTTGTATTTACTATTTACTACAAATGTAGTATATTTGTACTTTTTTAAACTATTTACTATTTACTAAAAATATAATCTCGTCATAAGTTTCTGGGCCTCAGTTTCCTCACCTATAAAATGAGGGTATTGGGCCAGGTGACCTTCAAAGACCCTCTCCCAGTCTCAATCCTAGGAACTCTGTGAAGTAGACAATACGTGTTAGTACTATTTCCATTTTATAGGTGAGAAAATAGGCTGAAAAACGTAACTTAAGCAAAGTGACACAAGCGGTCAGCCCCCATGTCAGTACTTGAACCCAGACCTTTGACTTCAAGTCTGTTCTTCCTTCCACTATACTGTGCTGTAAAGTGAATTACTCTCGATGACACCCTCTTCCCCAAGATGAGCTGCTTGTGTATCTTCTCTTTGACTGGGTCTTCCTTTGCTTCCCTCCTTCCCCTTCCCTTCATTCTTAACAGATCTGGGAGTGGTTTCGTGACCCAGTCTTTCTGGTGTTAGAGAGAATATCAGCCTAGAAAAAGAAGACATTGGCAACTGTCATCTCTTAGTTCAGGGGCCTAGGGCTCCGATATGAGTAACCTGTCAATCCCTGTTGTGCTGCTTAATAGGAAGCTAAGGAGTAGGTATTTGCAGGCAGTTGGAGGCTGGGAAGTGGTAACCTCTATATAGAGGATGAATTGAAGGATTCACCTCATTCAGGCACTCCTCTCAGTAACAACAATAGCTAGGGTTTATATAGCTCTTTAAGATTTGCAAAGTACTTTGCTGATATGATCTCATTTTTTTCTTCACAGCAACACTAGGAGACAGGTGCTGTTATCACCCCATTTTATAGCCTCTGCCCAGAAGTGTGCTGGAGCCAGCTTGTACCAGCTCACATGAACCAATTATTAAATTTTCGGTGTGGACATTTACACCTTGGAAATTAGCAACTGCTACAAATCAGGGCTTGATTTATTATTTTATTGTTTGTCTAAGAAGTGATGAAGAAAATGTTAATAACGCAGATGAAAAGTGTGTCCTGGTTTTTGGAGAGCTGGTTGTTAAATATTTACTAAAGTACTCCTGCTTGTAATAGTATTTCTTGAAAGCTCTTCATCACATACTCTAAGCCCAGAGCTCTCCTTCTAAGGAAATTCACATTGGCAGAAAAAGTTATGGAAAGAACACACCATATTTAGGCTCAGAGGACTTAGGCAAAATCCTGTTCCTACCACATGCTAGCTAGCTGTGTGACCTTAAGGAGGCTTCTTCCCATCTCTGGGCCTTAGTTTTCCCATTTGTAAAATCAGAGGGTTAGATTAGAAGAACTTTGAGGTCCATTTCAGTTCTAAATACTACGAAATGGTTTCTGAGGAGGAGAAGAATGCTGGGATAGAGAGAAATCCATCATATGCTTAAGAGACTATCCTTCTATCAAGAATCACTAGTGTGGAATAAAATGAACAAAGTAGAAGCTTTAGAAATATGAGGGAATGGCGAAAGAGAGTACTCTCCTAGAAAGAAATAAGTGAATCAGATGGGGAATTGAGTTATATTCAAGGGTGGAGAATGAATAGCAGTAGTTATGTGATTTAAAATTTGCCTGAATGCTATCAAAGTTAACAGAAGCCAGTGGCAGGGGCTTGGGCAAAATCTCTTGCCTGTACCAATAACCTATATGAATCTCATTCTCTAATTGTGGGCATAGGTCAAGCTATTAGACTTCTCAGGAACACAGGAATACCTCCTGTCAGGAATGGGAGGGTTGAGGAGAGGGACCAAACGATCCACTAGAGTCAGGGTCCACTTGGCTGGCAACAGAAACATTCAATCCATAACAAATATTAAGCGCAAACAGATGAGCTTCTAGTAGTGGCTCTTGGTGACGTTCCCAGAATGTTTAGGAAGGGTAGATGGATAGGTAAGAAAACAGCTAGGTAGGTAGACCAGTTGTTCTTGCCAGGAACGGGGCTTAAAAGCTGTTATTAAGTAGAGAGAGTAGGTTAAAAATAATCATCTACTCGCTAGGTGGAGATAACCCTGAAATGGTATAACTAGCATACATCTTTTAATCTATCTGCCTTGATTGATTTCACTGATATCATATCCTATTTGATACCAGCCCTACTTGCATAGGATGATGGGTGGTAGGTAAGGGTTCAAATGGAGGTTGGACTGATAATGGTTGGTCTGGTGATCTAACAACCACACACTTTTGTAGAGACAGGTGACATTTGACAAATAGATGGGTACACTATCTAAGCTAGGTTGCTGGCTCTGTTCTCTGTTTTTCATGTGACCTTTGGTAATTCAGTCCACTTCTCTATATCTCATAGGAAAAACTGAATTGTCTTGATCACCTTTCTAAAGTCTCTCCCAGAGCTAAGTGTTGTGAGCCTATGGACCACTGCAATGATAAGAAAAACAGGATCAAGGGGTGTGTCGTTTAAACCAATCGGGAGCTGGGCAGAATTTTGTTAGCTTTAGCAGGGTGAACAAATTGGCCTAGAAAGAAAGGAACCCACCCCCAAAGGGAAGCTGTAGTTGCCCTTGCTTAGCAATTTGGATGGACAGCATGGTGGTGGAAACATCACTAGAAGAGGCTGGAGTTGGAAAGATTTGGATTCTAATCTTGTCTGTGCCACGTACGTGACCTGGGGCAAGTCACTTAATCTTTCTGTATCCCATTTGCTGTACTTATGGCTGACATTTATATAGTTTGGTAAGGTTTGTTGGCAAAGCACTTTACACGTATTATCTTAATTGATCATCACAGTAACCCTGTGAGGTAGATACTACAAATATTATCATCCTCATTTTATAGTTGGTGAAACTGAAGCTCAGAAAAATTAAGTAATTTATCCAAGATCACATAGCTAATAAGGGTTAAGGGTCAGAGGCAGGATTTGAACTCAGGTCCATCTTGACCTCTGGATTCAGCATTCTTTTCACTGCACCATGCTGAAGGGGGTTAGATGTGGAGGTCTCTAAGACCCCTTCCAGTTTTAGCATTCTATGACTTGATGAGAGAATCAACCCTTCTCTCTTTGTCTCTCTCTCTCTCTCTCTCTCTCTCTCTCTCTCTCTCTCTCTCCCTCCCTCCCTCCTTTCCCATATCCTCCCCTGCACTCAAGCTGCTCTAACTGCAAGCCCATTTTACCAAGTCACTGATGAGCAGGTGTAACCCTGGGAGGGGCAAAAGGTGATCTGAGAGGAATAGGAGAGATGATTGAAGCTGATGCTGCTTTTAAAAAGCAGCCCCAAGCCCATGTTCAGAAAAGTGAAAAAAAACTTTTTAGAAATTTGTGTTTACTCTGGCACGCGACTGGCCTTCACTGCTTTTGACATATTAGGAAGAATTTTGGCAGAGACCCACCAGAAGCACTTAAAAAGGCATATGTTTCTTTTCAGAATACAAGGGGCCTGGAATGTATTCTTTAAACAAAATTCTTATGAATCTTTAATTTAAAAAAAGTGTATGTTTGTGTTGCGCATATTCTCTTTGGAAGTAATTTCCTTAACTCCCTTCCTCAGACCATTTGAAATCATTATTTTACTGACTATTTTTGCCAATTGTGTGGCCTTAGCGATCTATATTCCCTTTCCAGAAGATGATTCCAATGCCACCAATTCCAACCTGGTAAGTCTGTCTATGCTTTTGTTTTCTTACCCAAAGCCTGGAGGTGGTCTCCAATCCTATGGAGAGAACATTGAAAATACAGGAGAAGTAAGATGTGTCTTTGGCATGTACAAAAGATCTGTGGAGCTCAGATCCACGGTTCTGTTTTGCTCCTTATTCAAATTAGCACCTGTCTGATCACAGCTCATTTTAGGAAAGAATATTCCAATTAGATGTTAGTGAACTCTGAGTAAGATGTGTTTTAAGCAGCAGATTTCTTTGAGTGTCCTGAAATGTGCTTTGTAAGTTAAAAGTGCAGGTGTTTGCAGGAGAAATCTTTTATTTGTGTCTTATTTGTGTCATTCATTGTTAGAGGGGTTTGGGCCTCTCAGGTGGTCTATGGCATCATTGCTTAATGAGTAATTGCCAGGAAGGCTCTTTGGAAGTTTGCTTGTGGACGTTCAGTTTGCTCATTGAAGTTAAGTTAGAAAGAATTCCTTTTCTTGGGAAAGGCAGCCTTCCCTTGGAGTTTCTGAGGGAGCCAAGGCTCACAATTTGGGGTTAGAGCTCTCCGTGGAAAAATAAGAGTATGTTTACTTTTGCTTGCTGTGAAGTCATAACAAAGGACTCTCCTCATTCTGGGCATGTTATGGAACAAAGCTTTAGAGTGTGTTCTGAAAATCTGCTGTGTCTCTTCCATAGGCCCAGAGGAGGGAAAAAAATCATCTGCCTTGCCCAACCCCCTAAGCCTCAGAATGCAGATAACTGTTGTTTTAAAAGAGATGTGGGGGGAAAAGTGTTTTGTCAGCAAAACTATCTCCTTTCCCTGATGTTCTCAGCACCTTACTCTAATCAGTGAGATAGGACATTCCAAAGAAATTGTTGAAAAATGAGAAGCAGGAAAGCTTCAGAATGGTCCTTCACATTGCTGCCAAGTACAGATGCTATCACTGTTGTGGCCATTTATTACTCCTTTCTTTTTTCTTCCTCTTTAAAAAAAAAAAGCAACATTGTGACATTTCTTGTTGTCACTGAACTGAGCAAATTTGATAGCTATTTAAACCATTTCCCCACTTAGGCAAATTAGTTACTGATCCATGTGGGACAAAGTATTGGGTGTCTGCTGGATTGCTGCTTTTGCCTCTTGGGGGCTTGAGGTAGGGATGAATGTCCCAGGAAGAGATTCCAAAGCCGATTTTGTGAACGCTTGAATATAGAGTGCTGATGAAGCCAGAATACAGATGAATAGCATTAGCCACAGTTCATGCTACCTTCCTGAGGTGTGACTTCATCCCTTAACAGGCAAAACATCTTTTCCATGTCAAAATAAATACAAGCAAGATTTATCTCACAAGTGGTATCTGAAAAAGCATTATAGAAACACTTAATTGGTTATCTCTTTTTGGTTTATCTCTTATTTGTTTTCTTTCTTTCTCCCCATTGAGGGCAAAAAAATTCCCATCAGATTCTTGCAACTTCTGTCACTTAATCTGTAATTTCCTTTTTTAAGTACCCTAGTTACAAATGACACTGATTTTTTTTTTATCCCCTTCCTCCTGAAAAACTTGGTTTGAGCAAAGGCTATTTTGAAGTAGTGGGGACTGGGGCTTCTAATCTTAGTTAGGCCCATGGGAACTGTCAGCTCATTGGCCGTCAGGAGGAGAAAGGAGGTGATCAGAGGAGGACTGACATTGTCTTCTAGGGAGTGAGGGAATAACAAAGGAAGCTCCGAGATGGTTGTGAAAGGGGGGAAGGAAGGGAGAGAGATTTTCGTAGAGTTTTCTTAGATTCCTGTATGGAATCCAAGCATAAATAATGATAGGGTCCAGGATGACAGACTCCTGCTTTTGGGTGAATTGTATCAACTGATTTTAAGCAGGAATAAGATAATCTCTACAGTAGACCACTCAGCAACAGGCCTTTCTGACCATATGCTTGACTGCTCCTTTAAAAACTAGGACGAGATAAACACAGGGGGGACAAGAATTGGAGGGACCGAACAGGGATTCAGTTTCCCATTTACTGTCAGTGATATGCCTGTAGATGTTAGGTGGGTTTGAGCATGAGAGTTGGGAGAAAAGCAGTGGATTTGGGGAAAAAGACTGGTTGCTACAGCAACTCCTTTAGCCCTGGATTTCCCCACCAAAGCTCACCTTCTTCAAACCAGTCATTACCTGTGATGTGACACATGACTTCCCTCCTGTAAGTAGTGTTCTAGGAAGTAAACAACAGCTATTTTTCCAATAATTCACATGACTCTAAGGTAAGGTTCAATCACATCACTGAGATGGTTTGTGCAAAGGACTTTTCTTCCTCATGGCACCATTTGCTGTCCAGAACGCTTTTGATTCCTTAGATTGCATTACTCCTTTACTAAGACTTTATGCTAAAGCTTAGATTATAAGGCATCTGAACTGGAGATCTGTAGAGATGCTGGGGGTGACTGAGGTTGTGTGGGAAAAATGGAAATAGAGCTGGGCTTCAGCAACTCAGCCAGCTTCTGCCTATGAGAGTTGAATGTTCACTATGGCCATGGCACAGGGGAATTATAGAAGATAAAGACCAGTTTCTTAACATCAATCTAAACAATCTAAAGGAGGAATACAAGGTATATACAGTAGCAATAATGGACAAGGAAGTAGATAAACATACATTTATGATCACAGGTAGTCACCTAGTCAGAGGGGTTTAAAAGCAGCCTGATTTTATAACCTGTAAGCTGAAAGTAGATTTAGGAAAATTTTTGAAGGGAGGTTGCCAGTGAGTTTGAAAGGATGTCAGAGAAAGAGAATTCCCAATCATATTCCCTTCCATTGAAGGGGATTGGAATTGTGTAGGTTTGGTGTGTTTTCTTAGAAGCCTGGATAGAGGGCAGAGCCACTGATACCTGTGTAATTGTGCTGCTGTTTTCTAAATCCAATCCTTCTCAAGCATCTCTTCTAGAGTAGCATGGAACAATCACTAGAGCTTAAGAATAGTCCAGGAGTAGGTGCAGAAAGAAAATTTTCTATTTTTCGTACTTTAGGGGAGTGTATTTCTTTTAAGGGGTATCACTGCATGTTTGTGGTGTCTCTTTTCTCATTGTGTACAAAGTGTGCAATATAATCTGTATTTTTTTATTAATTTATTTTGATTAATCAGTAATCACTTCCATAAGCTTTTGAGTTTTAAATTTTTCTTCCCCTCTCTTTCCCCCTCCCTACCCAAGACAGCACACAATCTGATGCAGGCTATACATATACATTCCTATTAAACGTAATTTCACATTAGTGATGTTGTTAGGGAGAAGTAGAAGCAATAGAAGGGGCTACCAGAAATAGGAAACAAAACACAACATAAGAAAAAAAATAGCAAATAAGATGCTTCAATCTGCATTTAAACTTCATAGTCCTTTCTTTGGATGTGGATAGCATTTTCCATCATGAGACCTTTGGAGGTGTCCTAGATCCTTGCTGAGAAGGGCCAAGTCCATGAACGTTAGTCATTGCACAACGTGGCTGTTACTATGTACAGCATTCTGGTTCTGCTTACTTCACTCAGCATCAGTCCATACAAGTCTTTCCAGGTTTTTCTGAAGTCTTCCTGCTCATCATTTCTTATAGTACAATAGTATTCCATCATATAATCTGTATTTAAAAAAAAATTCAGCACTGAACACTGTGCCTGGCATATAGTGGGTGTTTAATAATTGCTTGTTGATTGATTAGGAAATAAATACATAAATGTTGAAGTCTTGATTAAAACATCCTAGGACCCCCTAATCCAGAGTTCTTTCAAAAATTATTTTAATACGTATACTTGTATAATAACACTGTTGTGTGTGTGTGTGTGTGTGTATGTGTGTGTGTGTGTGTGTGTGTGTGTGTGTGTAGAACATGTAGAGGTTTTATTCTTTAGAACTTTGTTCTAGAAAGCAGAAGGAAAAAAGATTTTTTAAAAATGGAAAAGTGGCCCACCTAGACGACTCATACTTTTTATAACACCTACTGCAATGAATCTTTTGCTTCTCCCTACAATCTATGTGTATCTACCAACAGTATCTCTTTAGTTCAGAAACAAGAATGAGACATTTTTTGGTGCTATGCAGACCTCACCCACTCAGTTGGGTTCAAGAATAATATTTCATTTAGTAAATCAAACACGTATACCTACACTCAGAGTCAGAAAAATTTTTTTTCACATGAATTTGCAAATTCACATCCATTCTCACAAATTCACATCTGTATGTGAGCTTCCTCTTTTGAATTTTTTTTCTTAGTTCACACCCACTCTTACAAAAATCCTTCCTTTCTCTTCCAGACAATCCCCATTGTTTTCTCAAGCAGCTTACTCTTTTAACTTTCTCTCCAAGAGAATAAAAAAAATTTCTTAATAGACTTTTTTCTTCTAAACCTTTTGCTCAAATAGGCCTTTTACCTTTGCACCCAAGGCAATTATCCAACTTGTGTTTTCCAAATATTCAGGCAGTGCCCTGTGCTTATTTTTACCACTAGGTTTGCTTAGCAGAGAGCTTTCATGAAATAATAAATATAAAAATAAAATATAGTTTATTATTGCCGTATTATATGTTTCATCTGAATGTACCATCAACACTCCACAAAATATATTGTGTGACTTGTGTTTTGTTGGACAAACTTAAGAAATTCTGAACTGATCTACTATAGAGATACAAGAACAGTTATTTCCTTAAGTATTCTTCCTCCTTGCCAGAGAAATCTCATATTAGATTGGCTGGAATGGATGAGGTATTGAGTGTCCAAAACCCTGATAATTCAGAATCAGGAAGAATGATTTGTCTGCACTACTCATTAAAACCTTTATGATACTTCTACTAACTGCCTCCTACCCAACAGCAGGTGTTATACAGTAGGTATATTATAACAGGTTGTATAAGATCTATTGATTTTATAACCTCTGCTAGCAAGGGAGAATCGTGCAGCCTGCATTATATTCCCAGCGTTTGTCAAACTAATGAAGCCCACACAGATTTGGCTTGAGTTTAATTATGAAGAAAGTATATT